TTATTATTATTATTATTATTATTATTATTATTATTATTATTATTATTCGCACAGTCAGCCAGATGTTCAGACTGGGTTTGGCATTTTTGTCTACCTATCAAGTCCTTACCAAGGACCTGGGATAGGCAAATCTGGATGTTTGATGGTGTTACAGATATCACCGCAGGATGGAAGCTGTTCTAAGTAAAGCTGCCTTCTGTAATTGACTGATGGCAAATTTGTCAATGCCTATGGCTGTGATGTGATGATGAGCCTCTGCTCTTCTGGTTTCTGGTGCACACATGTGCATCAGCCAGCTGGTCTATGCAGGTGCCAGAACACTGGAAAATGGCCCTGAAAACAGGCCAAAAAACAGCTTGGAAAATGGCTCCCAAAATGGCCTGAAAATGGCCCCAAAAATGGTCAAGAACAAGCCATTTTTCGGGCCATTTTCAGGCCAAAAATATCCCAAAAATGGCCTGAAAACAGCCAAAAAAACAGGCATGCACGCACCAGTCATCTGGGCTTTGGATTCCCAGCGCTCTGGCAGGCGCACATGGACACACGTTCCGGTTTGGGCACTCATTGCTGAAAAGGTTCGCCATCATTGGCCTATGGTTCCAAATGGTGCTCCAGTTGTTTTGGGACTGCACCCAAGTTCACACTGGTGTTAGGGAATTTAGCAAGACGTGGCTTTTCTCCCCTATTTTATTGTTGTTGTTGTTGTTTCTGGCAATTTTCTTTCTTTTGTGAGAATCTACATTGAAATGAACTACAGCAGTCCAAAGCTGGCATAGTTCTTTTATTCAGATTCTATGAACAACATCACCTGGACATGTTTGTTGTCTGGGCTTCCATATATTTTTTTCTTGCAAAACATATAATGTATACAGAGTGGAAAGAACCGATCAGAGACCAGCCCTCACTAACCTGCACCAATCAGAAACCAACTTGGCTAAAGGCCAATTAGGAACTAATTATAAAGACAGAATCCAGTGGGTCCCTGTGGTCTAAAAAGCACACCACCTTGCTTCTGAAGGTGCCAGCCCCAAGTTGCAATCAAAACATCAGGAAATCTGTTTTCTAGACCATAGTTGCTAAATCCTGAAACCCAACACTACCTAATAGCTACTAGCCATGATAACCTACATCAATATATAGTTCTTTTTTTCTGTATCATTTGAGTTGAAGTTTCAATGCTGGAAGACCACTGAGTCTTCCACGGTTGAGTCTCTCTTTTATCTCCTCTTTTCTTTTCAGAAGGGATATTCAAAAGTTAAGTCTAAGGTTTCCTTATAAGGTTGGTAAGAGTATATCGAGAATATATTTCAGAATAAAACAAGGTGGGGGTATTATTCAGAGATTTTTGTCTGCTACTATGCCACCAAATATACCCACATATCTTTAAATCATAAAAGAAAAAAATGGAGAGAAGCTAAAAGAGAACTCTGCCCTTCATTTAAATTAAATCTGTATGAAATAACATTTCATCTCCAAATAGTATTTACATATTTATTTGAGTATAGTTAAATTAAAAAACCTGCATTGCAGCATTTGAAGAAATTTTGAATCTGTTGGATATTTTATCATGAATCTGAAAAAGCAGATTTGTATAGAAATTGGCAAAGGTCAAATTCTTAATTATGCTACAAATTCTAGGTTGTTTCCTCTAGCTTTAGTTTAGTGATTAGAGAGAAATTTAGAGAGCGTGCTTTAATGGATTACCTCTTTGTTCTTCACAGTTCCTGAACACATAGGGGGTGACCTGGAATCTGCAACAGCAATTGAACTGAACCCATGGGTAGAGTATGAATTTAGAGTTGTAGCAACTAACAAAATTGGAACAGGAGATCCAAGCACACCGTCGAAAGTGATCCGAACCAAAGAAGCAGGTAAGACCATCTTCTGGATACGACAATTTTAAAATGATTGAGAATTTGGAAGTCTCTTAAAGCATAACACACCACCGTGATGCAAGTTTTTATCAAAACCTCAGATACATGATCAAATATTGGCTGTGGATGTTTGTAGAATCTTAAAGAACAATGACCATCCTTACACCGGCATTTGGATGTACCGTAACCCTCTTTTTTTATTCACTGAATCTCTGGTTTCTTGCTTTTCTGTGATTTTAAACAGCCTCCACTTAAAACACCTTTCTGTCTGAGGCAAGCAGGAAACATCTTTTCCACTTGGATTACCACTTAATCACGGTCTCCAATTAAATATTTTCATGGGCAAAAGCTCCGGTAGCTTAGTTACAATCTTTTAAAGATAAGTGTTGGAATGTACTTTCAGTTTCAAACTGCCACACTGCTCTTCCAGATTTCCTTCCTCCTCTCCCCCTCCTTCTTTATAGCAAACCTAAAACAGGCATAGGAATGCTTTATGAGTTGACACTCTATGGCTTTCATTTATCTTCATTCTTTGTTTCACTAATCTTCACTATGAGCCATGGTGGGGCAGTGGTTAGAGTGCAGTACTGGCTACTTCTGCTGCCTGCTGGCTGCCTGCAATTTGGCAGTTCAGATCTCACCAGGTTCAAGGTTGACTCAGCCTTCCATCCTTCCGAGGTAGGTAAAATGAGGACCCAGATTGTTGGGGGCAATAGGCTGACTCTGTAAAACGGTTTAGAGAGGACTGTAAAGCACTGTAAAGTGGTATATAAGTCTAAGTGCTAGTACTATTCCTATAGAATCATATATTTCTATGTTTCTATTTAGGTCATCGTCTAAGCTTTGTTCAATCCAAAGATCCAAATTAAATCATGTTCAGCAGAATGAAACCATGAGTTTTTGGTTCTCCAGGCAAAATGCTTTTTCTGTTAGATATATTTTTTCCTAACATCCAATTTGAACCTGTCTTCCTGTTTCTTAAGTCCATTATTTCATGTCTTGGAACGATAGAGAACCAAACTTAACCATACCCTGATGTCCTTTCAAGTAGTATCATACCTAATCATCTCTTCTGGTTCCTTTAATCTCTCATCATGGCATTTATTGACTATTCCCCTGTTCACCCTTATGGTCCTTGTCTGAATCTATTTGTTGGAATCTATTTCTTCAAATGCTTTGCTTTGAAATAAGCACATTAATCTAGGTGGAATGGATCATTCTCCAGATGGACTTGAAAAGCATTATGGAACTCTTCCAAAACTTGATGCTGACATTAGTGACCCCTCAGTAATATCATGTTACTTTAGTTGTTTTTATGCCTTGTTTTGCTCCTAATTAGGTTTGCCACCTGGCAAATTAAAATGAAATATTATCCTAGCTCTCTTGTTTATTGCTGTGACTTATTAACAAGATTTTAATCACCAACGGCTGGTTTTCTTGATATGCGTGCCACATGAAAACAACACAAAATGTCTTATTGTGTGTAGAGGTTTCCTGGTCTAGAAAACACTCCAACCTGTTGTATTCTTCACAGTTACACTGTTTAAAAATAGCACATTATTTTACTTACTAGTCCATTCAATTCATAGTTTTACTCTTTTCATTGTTTATCATGAGCCGCCGTGGCATAGTGGTTAGAGTGCAGTATTGCAGGCTACTTCTGCTGACTGCCAGGGCAGTTGCCTGCAATTTGGCAGTTCAAATCCCACCAAGGCTCAAGGTTGACTCAGCCTTCCATCTTTCCAAGGTGGGTAAAATGAGGACCCAAATTGTTGGGGGCAATATGCTGACTCAGTAGACTGCTTAGAGAAATCTGTGAAGCACTGTAAAGCAGTATACAAGTCTAAGTGCTATTGCTAGGTTGCTTTTGTAATTTGAATTCAGAATCTTTATAGAGGTTTAAAAACATACATATTTACAATATATAAACTATTCTATGTTCTCAGTACCTCTGTGTGGTAGGTTAACGTGACAAGTACTAAATATATTCTAACCTCTCAATATTTTTATGCCTGTAGAATCTGCTCCAAGTGTTCACCAGGACAGAGAAGAAAAATATTTCATGTCTTCTGTCCAACCTGTCCAAACTATTGTAATCTCATTCTGTTATTTTGGGTATTGGGTAGACTGCAATTTTGGTGTCATCCACATATTTGACACAATGTGTGGATGATATAAAAGCTTAGAATGATTCTATTTTCCCACTATGATGTGTCTGGGTTGTTTTTTTCTGAATAGAAAGCATAGGAAAGGCTGCATTATTCTTTTCTGGGTCAAGTAACTAGAAGAAAGAATGGGGTTTGGAATGGGGGAGTATTCAGAATTCTAAATCAGTGACCAACTGCATTGTCTCACCAAGATTCATTTTTTCCCCCAGCCACTTAGAAAATCCAAATTTGAGATTTAGCCTAATCTTCCTTTTTCCCAGCTTCTCCCACCCCTCAAATCTTCTCTGTTGCAGCTGAGTTTTCAGAAAGTTATCCTACAAAAAGACAGAGTTCTCACCATCTTGCATAATTTATTTCCAACATTTTGAAGGGAAAGAACAAAAAGGAATCTGGTAAAAGATGAAATGCTAAAACTAAAAAAAAAAAAAGGAAGGGAAAAGAAAGGGAAACCTGGTGAATAGGTAGGATCAGGGCATTTCATCCATTCCCAATCTATAGTCATTGCCCATGCCAGCTAGTGCAGGTAGAAGATAACAGCATTACTTTCTGGAACTACTGAACTAGAACTATCACAGTAGTTGTGGTATTGTATGATCAGCTGGACAAGCCAGAAAGCTGATAAAAGGACATTTAAAAAATCAGTCTACATAATTTACATGCTTGAATTGACAACTGAAGACTTCTATTTATCTTGCAAACAACACAAAATAAGTATGATAAGCTCTTAAGTGGGACTGTTCATGTATTCTTTAATTTAAAAGAGAGAGAACTGCAGTGGAAAACTGTCTGAGTAAGGCAGGCAATAAAATAGAATGAATTTTAATGAATCTACAGTTTCATAACGGGAGAATGGCATTGACCCTAATTTTTTTGGCAATTTGTCCACAAAAAACCCCCCAACCAGCTAGTATTTATTTTCACCTCTCAGTTGGCAGGCATACATGCTATAAATGCTCTAAATACATAATTGCTTTAGACTTTATTGTGTGTTTTGGAGCATGGTAGCTTATAGTCTATATAAATGACAATAAATTGAGTCACTAGATTCGTTGAAATCCATTGAAGTAAGTGGCAGATTTGTGAAGTTTGTCTTTGAATGAATTTCTTTCTGACAGCCTGGTTAACCATTGTTTAGGTACAGGGTCAGATTCATTTTAATGCTAGCTTTTAAGTATCCAGACTGATGGATTCTCAATCTTTTGAGGTGTCTTTCTTTTCTTAAAAAGGAAGACAGTAGATGAATGCCTTTTTAACTTTCCCTGCTTATTGTTGTTCTGAGAATTCATAATTGTAAGCCATTTCAAAACTTGCTTTTTCTCTTTTGTAACAAAATTCTATCATTCTCATGGTATTTTTGGAAAAACTTCACACTTACATGGAACACTTGCTGAATTCACCAGGTTGATGTGACCTAGCATCTTTAAATGGTTTAAATCCTTGGTTAAACAGAGGCATAGAATCAAAATCATGTGAAGTATTAGTACCACTTTATAAAGCCCTAGTAAGACCACATTTGGAATACCGCATTCAGTTTTGGTCACCATGTTCCAAAAAAGATGTTGAGACTTTGGAAAAAAGTAAAAAAAGAAGAGCAACAAAGATGATTAAGGGCCTGAAGACAAAACCATATGAAGAACGGTTGCAAGAATTGGGTCCAGCTAGTCTAGAGAAAAGAAGGACTAGGGGGGACATGATAGCAGTGTTTCAGTATTTGAGGAGCTGCCACCACAAAGAAGAGAGGGTCAACTAATTTCCTAAAGCGCCAGAGGACAAGACAAGACACAATGGATGGAAACTAATCAAGGAGAGAAGCAACCTGGAATTAAGGAGAAACTTGCTAACAGTGAGGACAATTATAAGATGAAAGAATAGCATACAATTGGCAAAGTCACTGGTTTAAGATAAGTGGCTATACACACTGAATAAAGAAATAAATAAAATTACATCTAGGATATTCCAGAAAGTAATGTAGATGACTAAAGAATTAAGCAATGATTGGACATCAGCATTTTTGGACATATAAAATCCACTTTTCAATCAATATCTTTTCATTTACTGGCAAACAAACAATTCTCTTCATAGATGGAGAACAGAAAATTGACAGCCTTGTAATTTTTATTTGTTTGTTTTTATTTGATTTTTTTAAATCCTGCCTTTATTATAGGTAGCATACATAACAAACATAATACTAGTCTAATTATTAGACCATCTCAACCACTACCCCAAACTGGCTCTCAATTATTAACTAAGTGGGAGGTAATTTTAGAAGATGTAAAAAAGTAAAAGTAAAAAAAAGTCTTTAGAAACCAGTTTGGGTAGGGTTAAGTTAAGGCAACACAGATGTACATGTTCACAATTTCGGTTCATAGATGACACTAATACAAAAGTGGTGGTGCATTATGTACGCAGAGAGAAAAAGAGAAAGATCAAGTGAGAGAGAGGTACAATTAAAATTATTCATTAAAAGCAACATGTTAGATGTTGTTGCTGTTTTTGTTCAATAACCATTTTATCAAACCGAGACCCTATTTTAAGCATAGGCAGTTTTATGGTACTAAAACATATAAAGAATGGTTGCTGGAATTAAGTATTTGTCTAATGAAAAAAAGGACTAGGGGTGACATGATAGCAATGTTCCAATATCTATGGGCTGCCATAAAGAAGAAGGGAGGGAGATGTCAACCTATTCTCCAAAGCACCTGGAGGCAGGACAAGAAGAAATGAATGGAAACTAATCAAGGAGAGGACCAACCTAGAACTAAGGAGAAATTTCCTGACAGAACAATTAACTAGTGGAACAACTTGCCTCCAGAAGTTGTGAATCCTCCA